TTTAGTAAGTGGTGGGAAACACATTTATTTTGTGGAACTCATTGTTTAGAACAGTAAGATTTTATTTTGAAACTTAATAACAAAAAATAATTAATTAATGTTTTTAAACTGAAGTTTGTTGTTCATGCGTCTGATGAAATTTTGTTCGTGACATGGATGTGTTGAGTTCTATTTCAATTCTATGACATGAAATCAATTTTATGTAAATATAATAATCAATTTTATTGACTTTTTTAATCAAATTGTGTATATATTTTCAAGAATATTTATTTCAACTTAAAATGTATATATTTTCTCTAGAATAGATGTATTTATAATAAATATATGTTGACTTTTTTCATACAAGCCTTTTCGGAAAATGAATTCCATGAAGTGAACAAACAACATATATTATCATAACTTAAAATATCAGTTATACCTAAAGAGACATGTTAAAGAAAACCTTCTTATAATCATTACGAAAGAATGAAAAATGAGTCAAATAATATTTAAAACTTAGACAACCATTTCATGATGTCAAAAACTACGCTCCAACAACAAGACCAAACCGAAAAGCGCAACACGAAGAAAATACTTTTTTGTTTTTTCATTTCTTTATGCGTAACAAAGTAAAAAGTATTAGTAAAGTATTCAAATTGTTTGCTTGCAATGATATTCAACTTTTATAGATTTAGTTTACTTTAGATTAAATGGGAGACAAAATTGACAACCCAAAAGAATTTGTCTATCTTTTAACAAAAAGGCATGTATGCAAAGTGCGTGCCAATTAACAAAAGAAAAAAAGTATTATGATTCCTTAAGAATAGAATTGAAGAAAAATGCAAAGGATGAGAGGGAGAGCACCACTTTGAAAGATCATTATTCAACCAATGCCAACTCCAATTGTCCACTGCCTTCACTTTCTTCGCGTTTTTCTCTCCTTCAAATAAATCTTAAATCGAACAACCATGTCTCTTTGAAAACAAATGCCTAAAATAAAGCATTCACTCTTAAGAAATTAAAAACCTTAATCAGTATTTTAATTTATTGTATAATTAAAAATTAATCTTGTATAATGATCACTAATTTTTTAATGTTGTACATTAAAAAACACTTTTTTTTATCAATAGAAAATATTATATTAACAACAACAAAGTTCAAATCTAATCTTGTACATATTATCTCAACTTTTCACCATTATTGAAACTTGTATATTTTTTGTAACTTTTTTTTTCACTTAATACACAAATTGAAAGGACAATGTCGAATGCATAGATCAACTGGTGTAATGTTGTCATTTTAACTTAATTAGTAATTTCATGTTTGAGTTTTTTATTCCACACTCAATGTATAAATTAAAAAAGAACATCATTGAGTATGTGAATCATCAACTAACGTAAGATTATTTTAGCCTAATCAATGAATTCAAGTTCAAGTTTTAGATACATAGTTACATTAAATTGAATTTTTCCTCCCTAAATCTCTAGTTCAAGTCTTTTTTTTTTTTTTGCTAGGCAAAATGAAATATATTAAAATGGAGTATAAGAGGTACTTCAAGCCATAAACAGTTACAAAAATAACCAAAAATAAATAGACAAATTCAGCCTCTTAAGTAGTCTACAAGGTATAACCAAGAAAACCAGACCAAAAGTAATCCAAAACAAACAAAGTCAACCAAAACTACTAAGAAAAACAAAAAAAAACTAATACTCCATGACCTCACTGTCCAGTAGCCGAGCATAATGACGATAAAACACCTCTATCTTGACCACACAACAAATAAAGGAAAACAAGGGCAACAGTGAAGACCATTGAAGAACCAAATTCAGAAGCTGCTACACAAAATCATCAAAGACACTAATGTTGACAACTTAATAAAGATTAAGACATGCAGCAGGTTGCCTTGACCAACAAGAGAACGGATAGTAAAAACCAAGATCTTTAGCTTTCAACCACTTCCAAGAGCATAGTTTTATCAATTCAACCAAATCTTTTGGAGATGTGAATTTATTAGCAAATACAACTTCATTTCTTGCCAACCAAATACTCCATATTGTAGCCAGCCAAATCACCACCCATTTGTACTGGTTTTTAGCAACACAACTAGAAAGGCCTAAGAACTACTCAAAAAGAGATATGAAATTATTTTGATGAGCAGCAAAGAGGTTGCACCATTCTAAACACAACACATCCAAACCTGGTACGTAAAGGAACACTCAAAAAATATATGGCAAGAGGTATCAAGACCTTGATTATACCACACACATCCAGAATCTGAAGACAATAACAAATTCCTCTTCACAAGATTAACTTTGGTTGGGATTCTGTCAAGCATCACCCTCCATGCAAAACAAGAAACCTTGGAAGGGACAAGCCTACACCATATGAACTTATGAAGAGGGATTTCTACAAAAATTGAGGCATTAACAATTACACAGTAAGCTGACTTGACTAAATAAAGTCCTATTGGATCAGCTGACCACTTCCAAGAATCATCATTTGTATCATCCATCTGAACACATGTTAGATCCAGCATCAAAATTGATAACTGAGATTGCTCCCATTGAAATAATTGCCTCCTCCAACACCAATTCCACCCACACACTCTCTCTCTCCCTACATACTCTCATATCCGCCACAGACATCTCTTTATTATTAGAGATAGAAAACAACCTACTATACCTCTCACAAAAAGGTTTTGTAGTACACCAAGAATCCCTCCAAAATGAAGTATTCCTACCATTTCCCACTACTCTTGTAACGACCCGGCTGGTCACTACACACGGCACTGCACACTAGAAACACCACACAGAAGAGAACAAATATATACATATAGAGTCTAGAATATACATATACATGATCCAGTCTGAACAGAGTTAAAGTGTACAAAAGAAATTACAATCAAATGTTACTATCACAAGTAACTACACAGCAAAAAGATATCACAACAGAAATCAGCTCCACGGGTCCACCGGAGACTCACCACCAGACACCCACCTATCCCTGCTCTGCTCCCATACATTGTATGATCATTGCAGTCCAACATCATGGAGACAACAAAAGGGTAAGCTAGTGTAATTAAAATTCAACATACAAATATATATCAATATAAATAAACAACAGATACAGTTATCAACACACTTGTACAACTTATACCACTCAACAATATCAGCACCGCAATGCGGCAATATCAGCACTGCTTAGCAGCAACAATAACACCACTTGAGTGGCTATAACGGCACCGCAAAGCGGCAACAATAGCACCGCCTTAGCGGTTAGAATCAGCACCACATATGTGGCTAACAACAGCACCGACTTAGCGGCTATAATATCCCACAACTCAGCACAACCCAGCACAGCACAACACCACACAGCACAACAATTCAATCACAATTATTATTTTCCACAATTCAGCCCAACAGTCTATAATTCCGCTATGCTATAAAATTTCACTTATTAATCCAATGATTCTAGCTCAACAATACACCTCTAATACAGCTAACATATTTATCTCCTAGTCATCACAGCATATTCATCAAATACAACATGGTTCAGCATATAACATCATTGATTTACAATCTCGGCACAATTCAACAGCCAACATCATATAGGTCATCATCTCCTTGCGCGCCCGGCGCACTCGAGGTCGCGCCCAGCGCGACTTAACCCGAGAGCATCAGGACCAGCGCGCCCAGCGCAGGAGTACTCGCGCCCAGCGAGACTCAACCCGAGAGCACCAAGGCTCTCCCGCACCTGGCGCAATTCCAAATTGCGCCCAGCGCCTGCCTGGCAGAGACTCAAGGAGTTTGGTGCGCTCAGCAGGGCCTAACCCGCTCCCAGCGTGGGAAAGGCAGAGAACTACCAAGGTCTCGCGCCCAGCGCAATTCCAATTGCGCCCGGCGTGCTCTTGGCAGAGACTCCCAAGGAGCCTTCGCGTCCAGCGAGTCCAAAAGTGCGCCTAGCGCGGCACCAAGTATCCCAAAACATGTTACTCTTGATATCGCGCCCAGCGCAGCTCGAGTCATGCCCGGCGCGGGCCAACCAGAGACTCCCATTTGCAAGCTCGCCCAGCGCACACAGCCTTGCGCCCGGCGGGCTTGCCTAAACAGAGTCTCCTGGTGGTCGCGCGCCTGGCGCGAAGAACGGCGCCCAGCGCGAATTCATCAGTAACTCTCCCCAAGTTCGAAAATTGTTCAAAACCTGCAAATCTTAACAGAAAACAAGCATGCAATCCAGCCAAAATGCCACATTCTCATCAAACATCAAGAAAAATACCTCATTTTCCACATGCAACCACAATCCAAGAATTTCCTCAAAATTTCTCAAAATCCTGAAAACCCCAAAAACTTAAACTTTAGAAGTTCTCAGCCAAAATCATCAGTTCTCAACCATTTAAATGAGTCCCTAGACCCATCTTTAACCAAAACACAGCAGAAATCTAACTTCCCTTACCTTAGTTCGAAGATCCGAGCTTCGGGAAGGAAAATGAAGAAGGGGGAAGCTTGATCGGAGAAGATGGACAAGCTTGAACAGCAAGGGAGAAGAAGAGCTCCGTGAACTCTCCTAGGAAATCCTGAACCTACTCTTCACCACCACCTTGAGACAGCGAAAATGGAAGAATGAGGCCCAAGACTCAAGTGGGAGCAAGGAGAAAATGAGAGTTAGAGGGTAAGAGAGTTGGGGAAGAAAGGGTTCCGTACGGGGGGTCTCACAACTCTCACACACTCCTTAAAAAACCAATTACTTGTAGTTGTTGCACCCTCCTCAATATTCCACAGGTCATACCACAACCTAAATACCCCTCTACAGCCACCTCTCCTATTCAAAGAAGTTACTACCCCATAAATAGAAGTGACCACTTTAATCCACAAACAATCTCTCCTAGTTCGAGTCTTATTGATAAAATCAAATACTTCACTAAATGTTAACACCTAAATTTGATAAAATATTTTAAATCAATAATATAATTATAAAATTAATTTTTAAAAATGATTTTGTTGTTTATAATACTTTATCTAGGGATGGCAACGGGACCGGACGGGTACGGGTTTCATGATACCTATCCCCGTCCCTGCGAGTCAAACTCATCCTTGTCCCTGTACCCGTACCCGTCAATATATGATTTTCATCCCCATCCCCATTCCCATCTCCGTCCCCGTCGAGTATCGGGTATACCCGTACCCGTACCCGTCAATTTTTATATTTTTTTTGTAAAAAAAATGATATTTTTAAATTAATTTTTTATTATATTATAATTATAATTATGTCATTTCTCTATCTCATATTATAATAAATAATCACACATAAAAAAAATATTAAAATTCTTTAATATAATTAAATTAAAAGGAAGTATTAAATTAAAAATGGGAACGAGGATGGGTACGGGTATGGGTACGGGGCGGATAAGTACATATCTGTACCCGTACCCGATTTAATATATCGGGTTTTACCCGTACCCGTACCTAGTCAAATCGGATATTTCCCGTCAAAGTCAAGACGAGTTCGGATATTACCCGCTGGTACGGGTATATTTGTTATCCCTACTTCTATCCAACTTGAGCATAAAATCTTTCTATAAAACACTTGTATCATGTGGAAACAAAAAATAAAACAAAACTTAAAATAAAATTATGCAAATATTTTTACTGTTATTCATTAGTAAAAATTGAAGACGTAAAATAAAAGTAATCAAAAACTACATTTGACTATTCAAAAGTAAATTTGAAAAAAAAAAAACCAAAAATAGTTATATAAAAATCAAAATAAATATTTATTACATTAATAAATTTTATTAAAAATCAAAAAGAGTGTAACGTAATATACATAAGATAGAATAATCGACGATATTTTAATAAGAAAAATTGCAAGAAAGTATTGTGGACCCGTATCTGGGTCTTCTAGAAGCAGTTGCAAAACGCACAGCACAAGCCACGTCAGCACAGGCCTTTTTTTCCACACTCTCTTTCTTCAACAGACCCTACACAGTTACGCACCAATCCCTCGTGGCACGTGAAATGACCCTTATACCCCTCACTATCTCCCTCTTCCTTTGACCTCTATATAAACCCCCTCACCCAACTACGCTCGGCACCAAAAGCACCGCTACAACATTTCTCTTTCCAATTTCACCCCTCGCCGGAAAGAAAAAAAAAAACTCACATCGCAACCTTCGATTCACTTTCCGATGACTTCAACGCCTAGCCTCGCCGCCGCCGCTTTTCCGTTTCGCTCCTCTTCCTCCGCCGTTCCCCGCCGCACTTCGGTCCGCGCCGTCGCGGCGGGCGCGGG